TGACATCATTTCTGTATTTGTAACATATTTGCTGTTTAGATATTTTATTTTGGCTTCCTGCAGCACCTTTTTCCAATTTGATTTCTTTTGTTGTATCTGCTGTAAATCTTTGCATGTGTTTTTGAATTTGCACTGTGTTGGCCACAATATCTCTGTGCAGTTCTTAGAAAAAGTATGTTAAAGGGTGAGATTATCCAACTTCAGCTTAATCACTGTAGGTTTATAGGATCAATGGCAGCTCTGCGTAAAGATAAAGAAATGCATCTTTAAACCTGCACTGATTGATTTTTTTGGCCACTTGAGGGAAGAGGTTGTAAAGACAACATTGACACATTATCAAGTTTATATGGCTAACACTGGCAAACAGTTATCTACTTATACAACCAGCAGATGCAAAGCACCATTCATTCAGAGTTGTATTTCCGGCCCCCTAATGAATTAAAGCCCAAAATGCACACTGCCTTTGAGAAATGTCTCTTTAGCTGCTAAATGCTCCACCATGTTCAACAGCTAGTCACTTACTCCGTGTGCCATCTGGTGCTGAGCAGGTAGTGTACAGTCAGTTTTAAGAGCTTTTTCACTCATAAAGCCTGCATGCTGTGGCTGAGAACGACACCATGAGAGCCTGAGAGTGAACAAAAACAGTCAAGTTGCAGGGTGGAAGATGAAAACAATTAGCCAAAAGAAGCTTTAAAGCAACAGACATGAGAGAGACAGCAGAGATAGTTCTCTGTATGATCATCACTACCGGCGACCCCTCTCACACACAAGTAGTCAAGTGCTTCAGTGTTTTTATAAACAATGGTGATAATAGGTGCTTTAAAGTTTTAAAAAATGGATGCTTCTTCAAACTAAACAAGACTTAATAACTCACTAATCTCACTAATCAAAGTATTTTGAATAAAATAAAAGAGTAATAGGACTGTTGAATGCTGTGCATGCTCCCACAGAGGCAGGAGTATGATTATGTAATCGTTGGGATATTGTTTGTACTGTCCTTGTGAAAAGATTTGTTAACCGCAGGCTAACCATTACCAAGTATTAAACCCTCAGCATTAGTCACTGTCACTGAACCCACACACACATGCATGACCTGAGCAAAACTAGGCCAAGCTCACCATTTATCATACATTCAAACCGCATGGTGAGACATAAAAGAAGAGTTGAAAATGGTCAAGCTCACTTTAAAAAACACACAGCAACCCACTGTAACACAGAGAATCTATAAGATACTTTATCTACACATGTATTACAGAGTCATAATTACACCGTGATCAGTCAGGACTAGATTATCTTTACTGGTCAGAAGTCATTTTAAGATACTGGATCTATAATGACATTACAGATGTAAAGACACCATTTAATCATGTAATAGCTTGACTGGACTGGGGATATCCATAATTCATACATGACTACTGAAAACATTTAAATCAGATTGATCAGATCATATTTTAGCTGGTCAAAAATCCTAATATGTCATAATATATGAAATTGTCGTAATAAATGTTAGAACAGCTGCCAGAATGTTACTGGTGGCAGATATGGTGCACAGAAGCCTAATCTGGTGCTATTTTGTCCCACATTGTCTCTACCAGCAAACCCAGCATATTCAGTAAGCCTCACCATGAATATGTCCGCCCACACTCCAAGTTAAGAAGTCATCAGTCCCTAAGGCTGAATAATATTTTTTGTTGACTTTTAGTCTCTTTTTTTTTCAAATATGAAGCGCTGATCTGCAACTGATACTGTACCAAACATCGGGTCGACGCTGACTCAGGTAGCTGGATTATTAATAACAATTGGGCTGGCATATTTGTTCAGTTGTTTTAAACTGGAATTTTATTTCCTGTTTAAGTATTGACCAATTTGTTGCTGCATTTAAATTTTTTTTTACCAAGTTGCTGGGCACAATTTATTATTTTAATAACAAATAACAATTCAGTACATTTATATTTACATACTTATGCGTTACATTTTGTTTTACAAAGTTAGAAAAGCAATGTTTTAGTCAAGTCTGATGCTGCCTTATGCATGTAAGGATGACACCATTCACCTTCACACAGTGAGGCATATAGCTTATATACAGTATTACACCAGGTATCGCTATTACTATCAGTCAGATTGGTGCATCCCTACACTTTAAAGAGAATAACATGTATGTCAATATTTATTACCTGAAAATGACTGCTACATTTCTGGCACCAATAAGCCCTGGATTTTAAGAGATCATTCTGCACGAGTGCATTCAATCTTTAGATGGACACTAACGTAAGCATTTAATTGATTTTTTTTCCAGCTGTTTTTTTGTTTTTTGTTGTTAATTCCATTGGCTGGCCAACTGTGTTAATGCAGTTTTGTCATTGAGAGAGGGAGTGACATGCAGGAAAGGACCACAGGCTGGAGTCGAACCCAGGCTGCTGCGGCAACAGCCTTGTACATGGGGCTCTATCCACTAAGCCACCGACGCCCCACAATTTTATCATTGTTTTTAAAATGTCTGCATGTTTAATGTGTGGTTTTGGTGTTTGGTTGCGTTACGGGAGAAAAAATAGTAAAGCATTTTTGAACTGTCAAACACGCAGATAATCATATCATGGCTTTTACTATAGAAAAGCAACATTTCAATTCAACCTATACATTATCCACATCTAGCTGCTGGCTCAGAGCTGTAGGACTGTTTCACAACCTCATTCTGAAATAGAGCATTTTTGAAATTAGGGATATGCTGATGCTTCCCTGAGAGGTTTAATAGTGCTCTTCTTTATGGCTGCCAACTCTCAGTTTACCAAACAAAGCAAAGTTTTGATATTTGGCCCTGGAGCTGCTGGTTCTCCTCCCTCCTTGGGAGAATTGCAAAGCAGCCCTGAAATGACTGTGTCGCCTTGGGATGACTCTGTTGCCAACACAATAGTGGCGTGTCACAGAGGGATGGGCACCTGACCTTGAGAAATCAGCGGCAATCCAACACTTTAATGTCTATTTCACACACCATTTCATTCCAATGGATTTAAAACCCTGAACGACCATCACAACAGTTGTTACGATCAACATTTTGACATCCATAATGTCCAGCAGTCGGGATGGTCAAAAACTCGCTCTGCGGTTAGACTGGGAAAAAGCTTGAATGTGTGTGTGCGTGAGAGGGAAGGGGAAGAGTGAGGTCTTCCAATTGCTACGGTAACAGCTGCGATGGCAGCCGCTATGAGGAACAGGCGTATCATTGAGTTTCTATGATGTCACCGGTTTGGCGAGGCGAGCAGATGGGCTGGGCCAGGTACAGAACCTGCCGTTAATAAACACATGCAAATAAATACCTGCTTGCCGACAAACACAAACAACCACATTACGCTTTTCCAACACACACACACACACAGACTCACACACACACGTACTCATAAATTCTATCAAAACGCACCGTCACTCATGCATAAACACCTTTTCTCTTCATCTGACAGACTGCTCCACCCGCTAGTTTAAGATGCGACGCATTTCTCCTAATATGCCCAAAGAGCATGCAGCCCTAATCTAATTAGAGTGTCAGTCAGCAGAGTGTTCACCTAAAGAGAAATTAGGAAAGCACAAAATCTATAAACAGGAAAAATCTCCTTGCAAGGATGTGGCATATCTACCTCTCCCACTCCTCTCCTCCTCCCCCACTCCACCTCTTTTTTAATGGTTTCACAGTCGCCCCTGCTGAGATTCATTACCTGGCCTAATTATAAAGGCAAATGAAATCAGCTCCAATACATTATTAATAGCGGAGTGCCATTAGGATTCTTTTGCAGTATTTGCAACAATATGATATATTCCAACTGTTTTCATGCCTGATTAAAGACACGTACAGATAACAGAAAAGGTATATGAACGTGACGGTGGGTGCTGGATGGAAAGAGAGATGGAAACGAGAAGAGAAAGACAGAAAGGAGGAACAGAGGGAGAGAGGGGTTTTGGCGGGGGTGGGTTGGATTAAAGAGAATGCTGGCTTTTCCACTTGAGGAGGTATTGATGCCATATTGGATGCAGCTACTTATGAACAGGTGTGCTGTGTGTGGTCACTGTGACCCGGGCTCCACTTCCTGCATGGCTACACATCCGATCGAGGTGCATCAGAGCCGGGCAGGGGGAGGCAGACATCAACCCCCCTCAGGCCTAAGATGAAGGGACAGCTGCACTGCAGCTCCCTCCCTCGGACCAGCAGGGAGGGTGGGAGCGGTGTAGCCCCGCCACCCCAAGACTACAGCTTCAGAGTGTAAGCAACCATGAATAAAAATGGACTTTGCAGGGAAGTAGGGCTCATAATTATTCGTTTTAAATCAGTTAAAGCCTTTTCTCAAATATCCCCCAGGAGGCGCTGGGTTAAAAATCCATTTGTGGGAAGTGTACCATGACAGCGAGCTCGTCTCCCTGGAGACAGAGGATATGACAGTAGGGAATGTGCATGTGTATCTGTCGGGTAAGGTTATATGTGTGTGTGCGTGCATCAGTATGCAAGCATGTTCATGGGGCATTTATGTGTTTGCAAATTTGAGAGTCAGTGGAGCACGGAGGCTCACAAACACACACAGTCAAACACACAAACCACAGTAATGCCATTTTTTTTTTTATATATATATTTCGAGAGCGGATCTCTTATGTTTTAAAGGTCAGCTGTAAGAGAATGTAATGTTCAACTTGCTGTGGCCTGTGAAACAAAACGGACAGAAGACTCTTAGATAAAACTGAAGACCAGAAAAATAACAACCCCAAAAGTTAGTAATTATAGTGTGTGTGCGTACATGTTAAGACTGTTAGTGTGTTTTTTTTTATTACCACATTGTCTCTGTGATGCTGATCACATTGTCATTAAAGAGTTTCAAGTAAAATAGGGGAGAACTGCTACATTGAGAGGAAACGTTAAAACAGGTGATGGGAAGAGAAACCAGTTTTGCCTGGAAAAGAAAAGAAAAAAAGAAGGAAGAGGTCTCGGAGAAGGAGGGAGAGGAGCGGGTGTCCTACTTTACCGTCACACCGTCTTGCCATACATGCAGGTTCTGAAGCTGTTCCGCCTCCCTGGCCAGTTTCTACAAGGGAACACAAAAACAGCAGTGTGAGTGTCAGAAGTCAATAGGACATTGATTTGTGCGTGTGTGTGTTTGTGTGTGTGAAACAGACAAACAGATGGGACGATGGCGATGGTGACCTTGTTCCCTACAAAAGCAAGTACAGCTGTAAATTAACTGGATAATTCACAGGATTAGGGAGTGCCAAACCCAACAACACTCCTTAAAGTGCTGGTCCAAATTACAGTATGGCACCACAAGCCTTCATCAAAAACTGCTTGTTCACAGACACTAGGTGAGCCAGCTAAATACAGATTTTAAACCCCTCTATAAGCTGTAGATTGTACCTAAAAAACTGTCTTTGTTTCACAACGTCTATATCTTTTAAAAAACATTGAACATATTGATGAATAAACTCTAAAAAAAATCCCACACTTGAGAATCAACAAGAAGATAAGTTTTATCATCAGAAATACAAAATTAAATTGGGGAAATTTGAGTGCCATATAGTGAAAGTGTGGTTACAAACTGAGGTGATAATATGTGTGTGTGTCTGTCTGAATAACAGCAGGGATATGGCAGTAACAAGTCAAGGCATGGGCTGCTATTATCTGAGGTAGATCCACACCACTCCAAACCCGTACTGACCGATCTTGACATTTGCAGGTTAGTTGTGTACTTTTCCCGAGGGGATGTTTGTTTGTCAACAAGCATGCAAGATATTTGTCCATGCTTTTAGATAAGTGGCAAACAATAGCTAGGGAGGTAATGTCTGCTGTGACTCAAAATTCATGACTTTGGCTGCTGTCAAGTTCTGAGCGAGTGTCATAGAACGCATTCAAATACAGTTCAAGATACTTGTACATGGTAGGCTTGGGTGGTATCTATTACTTGATACTTTTCTGGCATTTCACTCTGCTATACAGTAGATAACGGTATTTGTGTATTAAAAAGAAAAAAAAAATGTAAAAGCTAAGTTTTTATGTCACTGTCTAACCCACTGGTTCCAAACCCGGGTGTCCAGACCCCCATTAGGAGTCGTCAAAGCTTCACGCGGGTCGCAAGGGCATCTTTATTTTCGGGGGTATAAGGAAGCTTAAAAAAATTATATATACAGGAAGCCTATATCTCACCAGTTCATTCATTTCACTGAAGAAAACTAAATGGAATCATTTAGATTAGATTATGATTCAAGATATTAACTTAACTGATGCAAAATAGAAATAATGCTCAATGCAAATGCTAATAAATAATGCTCAAAATCCATCCAAATTGTTTGTTTCCTGCAGTTCCTCCAACTTTCTGAAGTTACTGCATTCACAATTGGGGCTAATTATACAGTTCATCAGATGTTCACTGCTGTTGTTCTTATGCATTAGAGATAATATGAAATACCTATGAAATATTCCACTCAGTTGTCAGTTTACTCAGTAGTAGAAGAGGGGTCCAATAAGGAAAAAGGTTGGGAACCACTGGTCTGTCCCACAATGCTGTGTTTCTGATACGCAATTAACCCACTTAGACAAGTCTCGCTGGGTTTATATTCTTATGGCCCCTGGAATAATGACCAGATAGGAAATAGGCACCCCTCTTGCTGGAGGACCTGATGACACTTGTTGCTGAGGTGGCTAGCGACACATCAATGAGCTGAACGGAAATGACGTGTTTAATAAAATCATGTATCTAATAAATTGCTTTATAAAGTTACATTTAATAATACTCCGGGCAGAGGTATTCTTTTTTTTCACTACTCCTATAACGTTATCCCCACCACTTTCAGTTGCCATCTTTCTCAACTCAGCTGCCTGATCCACCAGTAGACACTGACCCCTGGTGGCACATGCTGTGTACTACATCTCCGTACCAGTTTAATAGAAAGAGGAGTATCTGTATTACTGATGGTATTGAAACTCATACGTTCAGGATTTCAAAATACCCTGATATACCCCAGTGTAGGAAGACATCGACACACTTGAGTATGTCTATATCATTTTATGTGACAGTATATTGATTGTCAAAATGCTGTATAGATTTTTAATTTATAGTTTACATGCAAAGATATGTGGCAGTGGTTTATTTTGTGTTAAGTTTAAACCTTTGACCACTAGATCCTTCAGTGTTGTAGTTTGTCTTTAGTCATTTGACTCTTCACTCCAATGTAACAACATATCACAAGGGTAAACACAAAGAACAGGCCTACAGACTAATCGGCTAGGACTTGGTGTGACAATCCCTGGAGTTTCAGCTTCGTGCCAGAGCATAGGTGTTTCGGCTGTGACCGCCCGGCAGAGCCATCCCCTGACACATCATCAGTTGTGCACCTCAACATCATCGGGGGTTTCAGCCTTTTATCACAAGACACCCTCCGCTAAGGCAGGCCCACCACAGGCTAATCAGGCCTGGGTGTGTATCAGAAGGTTGGCTCCTCTGTGGTCACCTTGGGGCCCAGACGGGATCATTTCTCTTCAGCCATAGCCGAAGATAAAACAGGCATAAAGGGCACACTGTTAAAACTGACAGTTTTCTTAAAGTTGGATTTTAAAAACTTTCAAGATATAGCCTGCCTTAATATTATTTTCATCTCAGACTAGTGTCAACCACCACTTACTCATTGATGTTGTCTTGAAAAATATGCTTTAACAGTCTAACATGATTTACCATGATGTAGCTTAGGCTTATCTCTGAAGAAGCTTAAAGTATGTAGGCTTCTCATATAGGAAGTCATCCAAGTGGCAAATATGGTGAAGCCTTTCAGTCTCTCTCCCTCTCTACTCCCTTCCTTCCCTCCCATGCCTCAGTATCTAGGTTTCCCCAGGCCTCTAGGGGGCGATCTTGTTCCTGTCCCAGAATAACGTGATCAGCCATTAAGTCCCAGAGCCCTGAAATGACTAACCCTATTTAGACCCCTGCTACAGTACGAGCTCATTCATTTGTGGAGCCACACTGAAGGAACCAGTCCGCTACCACGGGAGGATTTTTATCTACTGAAAACACACAAGACATCAACTCTCATTATAGTAAAAGCTGTCCTATTTCTATTAAGAGCTCCGCCCACCTCATCTCAGCTGCTCCTCCCACTCACAGGCACAAAGACACAATGCCGCTCCGCCTCCTCTCATCACACACACACACAAGGCCCCAGAATACCAGCCCACACTCTTGTGGATATCGTATAGGGACGTTGATGGAGCATAATAGTTTAAAGTATGCACATAATATGATATCACTAACCTAATTTGTGACACATAATAGCAGAGAATCTGGATAATTCGGAGTCCTCTGTGTCTCTATGCTTTTGCATTGTGCTTTTAATCACCTGAACAAGCCTTAAATAACAATGATAAGATTTCATTCATTTCCTAATGAGACAATAGGCGACTAAAACAATGAAGTGAGGATCTAATTAGCCCATTGAAATGATTACCAAAGAGTCCATTAGAAAAGACAGTAATTGTGTGGCTTTTCCTTAAGAGAGGGTCAGTCTTCCTAAAGGGCAGCGCCACAGTGGTAATCTCTTGGTGAAACTATCAACACTACATTTTTCAATTAGGGATCAACACTGAGGAGCATTTCCAGCCCTGAGATTAGCCTGAAAATATGAAAAGCCATATGCTTTCACTCTCTGCCACAACAGCTGGAATATGTAAAAAAAAATACATATATATATATATATTAATATGCAATGTTCTTTTTGAAGACATAAAAACATTTGATTTGTTTGAACTATTTCCACACTTTCTCCCCCCCTCAACCCTCTGTCATGATCTTTGATCTAGCTCGCCTTTCATCCCCTTGGCTCAGTCTTTTTCTCAGCATTTAATCTGTCAGTAAGAATCTCTACTTTGTCCCTTTAGAAAATCCATTTCTCTCCCCCTGAGTAGCCCACACATCTTTTTTTTTCAGTCCTCTGTTTCTCCAGCTGCCTCTCCCTTGGTATTTTTCCTCCCTCTCCCCCTGGTAGGCCACCATTTCTCTGGGACCCTATCTCTTCCCCAGCAGCTTAATGCAGTCCCCCTGCTCCAAAACAGCCATGTGTCTTCATGTGTCTTTCCTTCCTCTGTGTTGGCCCAGATGGATGGGCAACACAAACAGCCAATGAATCAGAGTGAGAGATGTGGGAAGGAGGGGGGCAGGGATATATCATCTATGCTGGTGGCTGGAGCCCAAGCAGCTTAGAGCACTGGATGAGCATAGTGAGATCAGCACAGTACAGCACAGATAAGCTCGGTACAGGCCCACACAACACAGCAAATAACACTACAGCATGCAGGCACAAAGACACCAGAAGAGTTGACAACGTGAGCGCGGTCCTATAATGTTATTGCCATTGTAACCTTGACACAAAATGCATCACATGTTGGGCCATTTGTCACAGAGCCTTCAGGCAAGGTCGAGAACCATAAACACAACTCGGTAATGGATAGTGGCATGTGAAGTACCTCGGCAAGGTCTACAGCCTTAAACAACACACAATGGAGTCTGTCGTGTATGCAAACACTGTACATAATGGTGCAGATGATGATGTAATTGTACAAACGGCCCAACAGCAGGATATGCAGCTTGGTGACGTCTCCGCTGTCCAAGAACCTTGACGGTGAAAAGCCGTGCTCCCTGACTGTGAACTCGCGGAGCAAGAAGACAGCAGGAGGATAAAAAAAATATAACCAAAAGCTCAGCATGAGGCGATTAGGATCTTTAATATTCATAACAGTTCAGTTTGCTCTGTTCCAGAGGGGAGCAGTTTAATCACTCGAAGTCATGTTATTTCTAGGGGAATGACAGCGCACCAGGGACGGACAGCGTCATGCTGTGGTGAGCGCCAACTCGACACCGGGCCGCCTGTATGATTGCTGCAGCCTGTTAGGCCCTTCCACTGAGCATTAACTTAAAGGGCACTCGACACACCACACTGTCGTCTGTGTGATCTGGAGGGACACTCCAAAACAGCCCTACAATGTGTGTGTTTGAGTGAGAGGGCACTTGAGAAAACACGACACGGCCTGTACATGTGATTGCAGCCT